ATTGAAATATAGGAAGATCAGAACGTCGGCACAATTTCCTAAAACATTTGATTTCTAAAATCGTAAGTGTGAAGCAGTGCAAACAAAGAGTGATGAGGGCCTGTGCAAAAAGTCCTGGGTTCAAAACTCGGCATCTTCTCTAATAAATTAGTAAAATTCATAAATTAAAATCTTTGTGTTAATAGTTTTTAACGTAACTATTTTATCTTAAAATTATTTTTATAATTTTATAGATTTTTTGGTATATCGTGGAAAAAATATACTGTACAACTCTAATGGATTGTCTGTGTCGTACTAAACCGAACTTCATATTCATGCGAAATATCCAAAATAAAGAGTTAACCACAAAAAAAATGTATCTAAAGTAGCCATGACCGACAAAGGCACAGATACGAGTCATATCCTTGAAGACTACGCGCAGAACTGAATTAAATCCTTAGATTAAAGAGACCGAAGATGTAACATTGCACACTGCGCATGATGTCTATTTTAACACCACGTAACCCACCAATTGAAAATCATTGCTTACACGACACCACCCGAATTGCTCTGATTTTTTATTCAACGCTCACCTCCGCCTGAGTTCAATCACCATTAACAGCTGTTTTTTGATTTATTTGTTGGTGTTTTAGCAATTTAAAGTGTTCTAGTTATTCAATTTTAATTTCAAAATGCCACGATGTATCTTGAAAAATTGTATATACCTATAATACAAGAACCAATGTTATGAAAGATAAAAAATGTATTCGTTTTCAGCGGTAAATATTTATTAACATTTTGACATAAAGCGCTATGCTCCTTTGGGCTGAATACTTCAGATCCGCATTAAGGGGATTCAATAAATATTTAGCATCAAATACATATTTCAGAAAACAGATTTTATATTATGTTTTGGCAATTAGTGTTGCCTACCTATTAGGAACCATTGCAGTTCTAAAGGCATACCTGCGCACAATTTTTAAATGTTAAAGGCAGTAGCGACTTGAATTCGAACGTGAAAACAATACATCGCAATTAATATTCTTTCGATATTTCTTTTGCCGATTTCGGGTGTTAATAATAACCGCCTTCCTCTCTATCCCTTCTATTTTCCCTCCGTAGGTGGTGAAACCCTAATATTTAAGAAAGAACCAGCATCTACCGGTAAGTTTTTTATCATTCATATCGGTTGTGTACATTTTTTATAACATAAATATACAAAAGGGTAAAATTTTGAACATTTAATTTAAGTAAGAAGTAAATAGCAATTGTTGCTAACGAAATTTTGTTTTTAAAAAGTAGTTTTATAAGAATATTTACTAAAGGTGGTTTTTAGCCCTTTTTGATAGATAAATAAGAAGTAAAGAAGCATAGTTGCTAGCTTAATTTTATTTCTATAAGGAATTTTTATAAGAATATTAGATGAAATACAGGATAACCTACTTAAAATTTCAAGGTTCATCTTATTTACGGTCAAATTGCAAAGCAAAAAAATACTAAAGTTACGAGAGTTAATCACAATAATAATAAAATGTTACATTATAACCGCTAAACAACTCGAACAAAATTTTCGTTTACTAAAAAAATCCAAATTCTAGCAATATTTATTATGTATTATACAATCGAATGCGGTTTCAAAGATAACGGGATCATAAAATCCGAATCTCTAAATTTTGGAGCTAAATGCTCGGATAAAAGCAAACGACCGATAGGGGTCACAAAAATAATCGATTTATCGATTATTCTGATATTTTTTTAATCAAATCGATTTATCCGTTATTTTTAATAAATTATTTTTAAGCTATTGCATAGCTTCTATCGCGGGTTTTGGGTGGCGACCGAATCAAGAAATTCCGCAACACCGTAACGAAAAAAACCGGCACAACGGTGCGGCGTTAAATAATATTAACTTCTCATTTATTTAATAAAAGAAAATCGAAAAATCGAAAAATCAAAAAATCGAAAAATCGAAAAATCGAAAAATCAAAAAATCGAAAAATCGAAAAATCGAAAAATCGAAAAATCGAAAAATCGAAAAATCGAAAAATCGAAAAATCGAAAAATCGAAAAATCGAAAAATCGAAAAATCGAAAAATCGAAAAATCCAAAAATCGAAAAATCGAAAAATCGAAAAATCGAAAAATCGAAAAATCGAAAAATCGAAAAATCGAAAAATCGAAAAATCGAAAAATCGAAAAATCGAAAAATCGAAAAATCGAAAAATCGAAAAATCGAAAAATCGAAAAATCGAAAAATCGAAAAATCGAAAAATCGAAAAATCGAAAAATCGAAAAATCGAAAAATCGAAAAATCGAAAAATCGAAAAATCGAAAAATCGAAAAATCGAAAAATCGAAAAATCGAAAAATCGAAAAATCGAAAAATCGAAAAATCGAAAAATCGAAAAATCGAAAAATCGAAAAATCGAAAAATCGAAAAATCGAAAAATCGAAAAATCGAAAAATCGAAAAATCGAAAAATCGAAAAATCGAAAAATCGAAAAATCGAAAAATCGAAAAATCGAAAAATCGAAAAATCGAAAAATCGAAAAATCGAAAAATCGAAAAATCGAAAAATCGAAAAATCGAAAAATCGAAAAATCGAAAAATCGAAAAATCGAAAAATCGAAAAATCGAAAAATCGAAAAATCGAAAAATCGAAAAATCGAAAAATCGAAAAATCGAAAAATAGAAAAATCGAAAAAGAAATTTTGTAACGAAAATAAACCTAACACCCACCACTCCGACCGACACAACGGTGCGGCATTGAAATTCGTGCGGCATTGAAATCCGTGCATCGTTTATCGTCTAACGTCGTTTCAGTTCGGCAGACTTTGGCACGGTGTTTGTGTGCATGCGACTAGACGTATGCGTGTAGACTAGCTGCTAACTGCTCATAACTGATTCTATCTCTTTTAGACACAATCTCGGAAAAATTTAATTTTAAAGTGAATAATGATCCACAAGAATCCACAACAAAATATGGGACCACCATTGACGCGGTATTTTCCAGATATTTAGAGGATATCAAGTCTCAAACTTATGTTTCTTATTTCAGTTACCATAAACCTATAGTTTCAATGATAACAATTCCTGAATAACCTACATGTATTGTAAGATAATAAAAATATTTTAAATAATATTAACTTCTCGTTTATTTAATAAAAGAAAAAAAAATGTTTTCTTATCGGTCATTACGCTCAAAAAGTGTAACTTGAATTAATATCGAAGAAAAAACTTGAATTAATATCAACGAAAAAAATACTGCATAAATAAAATAAATAAATAATTATAATTGCATAAGTTGATAAAAAATGCTATGCAATAGCTTTACCACGGCAGTCCCCGAGTGCCACACGTATTTTTTTTTAAGATAATGTTATAATCGATTTTAAAGGAAATACAACAAGAAAGTAGATTTATTCAAAATAATCGATTTTTTTAAAAAATCGATTTATCGTTTAATAGGTTTTTTTAATCGATTAATCGGTTATTTTCGATTTTTTAAAGGTATGATGTGAAAATAATCGATTGATCGAATATAATCGGTTATTTAATATAACCGATATTTCGGTTAGATTTTAGAATTATCGATATATCGGTTAATCAGCTTTTTAATAATCGATTATTTTCGATTTAACGATTATTTTCGATTTTCAAAGAATAGAATAATCAATTTTAAAAAAAATATGAATAGGATTATTAGAAAATACTCGATAATTCGGTTATTTTTTGGAAAATAGATTTATTGTAGAATCGGCTGTTTAATTAATTGGTTATTTTCGATTAAGCGATTATTTTGGAATAATCGATTATTTTCAGTATTTCAAAGATAATCGAATTATTGATTTTAAAGGAAATACAATAAATTATTGATAATAATCGAAAATAATCGAGTATTTAAAATAATGGAAAATACGTTTTTTTTAAATTGATTTATGAATTAATCGACTTTTTAATTAATCGATTATTTTTTAATATTTGATTATTTTCGATTTTTCAAAGATTATCGAATAATCTCAATGGACGAAAAACAAAATGGAGTATTTGAAAGTAACCGATTATTTAAAATATTCGATAATTATTTTATTATTTTTTGTAAACACTAATTTATCGGTTAAATGGCTTTTTAATTACTCGATTATTTTTGATTTTTCAAATATAATCGAGTAGTCGATTATAAAGGAAATACGACAAAAAAATAGATTGTTTGAATAATCGATCGATTATTATTTTCAATGATCGATAATTTATTTCTATAATTATCCACCCCTAGCGACCAAATGACTTTTAATAGGATTAAATTTTAAAATGTTATCTGGTTTCAGACATATGCATTTCTGGAGTTTTATGTGGCTCATCCTCTATATTATTTAATATTCCTAAATAAAGAGGCTGAGGTTACAATACAAAACAGCATTTTCTCATTTTGACTAATTTTTAATATTATGTAATAGCCGTAAAAAAAATATAATGTTCAACTCACAAGGTTTGATTTGCTTTTTTTGTAATACTCGTAGACAATGAGTACCATTTCTGCTCTATTAACAATATTGTATTTCAACATTTTACTGTATTCTCGTGCTGAAAAGTGCGTAGTAAATAAACGCTAACGAAATATTCTATGAAAGGTCTTCTCTTTACATAAAATGTGGCATCTGTTTGATATTAAAAAATCACGTTAATTTTATTTCATAATACAAAATTCCATTAAACATATAGGTATGTTAAATAAATGTAATAGTTCATTATGATGCTAATAAATAACGTCCGGTCCCTATCACAGAGTTCGGGTCGCTGCCCAGTTCCCCCACTCCGTTAACCTTTCTTTATAAATTGGCAACATTTGCGCAGGTTAAACACCAGTGTATGTTATATCTCTGGTCTCTTTTATCTAAGATTAAATCCAACCTGATACTTAAAAAGAAGAAGAATTGTACGCTCAACATATACGAATTTTTCCAAGACCGACTTTAGAAACATTTTTGTGGCTCACTCCTTACTAATTATAAGTTCTTTCTAGGAATCGTTATACCTGGAATAGCGTATATATTTCTTGGGTATTGTGGCCCGCAAGATGCACCTTTTGCTGTATTCATGTTAGTTGTTGGAATAGGCGTAGATTTAGCAGGAACTACGAATGGTATTTCAGTAAATTATCTAGATTTAGCACCCAATCATGCTGGTCCTCTACTGGGCATTTCTAATCAATTTGCTCAATTGTTTTCGGCATTAGGACCTTTTACTGTCCATCTTTTAGTAACAGATGAGGTAGGAAAATTATTTAATCGAGATATATAAATATATTTATATAAAAGGAAGAAGGTGCCTCATATTGTTTTTTTTATTTCATACCAAGTTCATGCTTTTTTGAACTTGGCTGCACGATTCTGATGAAGATTTTCTACTTTTTTTTTATACATAATATACCCAATATTCCTTTTTTTCATACTTATATTTATGTATACATATAGTGCCCGTCTAAAGAACGTTCTCACAAAATTAATTAAATTTTGGAACTTAAACTGATTTTAGAAACTTTTCTACCATTTTTTACTGGAATAGCCATCAAAGGTGGACACTAGTTTTAAATTAAAACATATTCAAAACTTTTTAAAACAAAAATTGAATTATTATAAATGAATAACTCTTTAAAATAACTTTCAAACGAGGTCACTCATCATAATGATGTTGGTAAATAAATATTTCCTAATACCACATATGAAAATGATAGTTTGTACCATGGGCGTCGTTTGGGGGGGGGCAAGAGGGGGCAGTTGTCCCCCTGGCTTTTGCGACTTAATCAACAACGCGTAAGATATGCATTACGAACAACAATCTCACAGAAATAATATTCAGGCTAATATAGTTAAAGAATATTATAGGTTGAATATATTTATTGTATATCTGGATTCCCTTATTACTTCACTTGCATCACGCTTTTCCGAAGGCTCTGGTGTTAATTTTTCCTTAAGCCTGTTACATCCTAAAAACATAAAAAATAATACTTTTTTCACTACCGATCAGAAAATGAAAATAATGGAAAAATTTGGAATCGACAATTTTGAAGCTGAAAACCAAACGTGGATAGCTAACTGGAGTACGAAAGAGCTTTGCATACAATGAGATCATTATTGATATAGCGTCCAAACATTGTATATTTTATCCAGACATCTAAAGAACTTTAAAAAAATTTATGGCTCTTCCACCAACGATATCGTCAATCGAAAGAACCCTAAGACATGTTAAAACATGGCTGCGGTCTGTTCGCTCAGTGCGAAATCATGGTAGGGGAAGCAAATAGGTAAAAACAATAAAAGGACCAACCGGAGTTTCTATGTTATACATTGTAAAAATACTAGCAAAAAAACTGTAAATTATATAAATTTTCAGCAGTAAAATGGAAATTAAATCAAAGAAATGAATAAATAGCTGAATAATAAGAAAAAAACCTTTATTTTGAAATAATAACAGTAATACTGGAAATAATAGACATCAGAAAATTGAAAGGTTTCAAATAAACAATAAATTATTATTTTATGATGTTCTGCAATATCACTTAAATCTTAAATGTTTAGCAAGGATTAGATTTCTGCCTTTGATTATTATATATGGCTGAAATGCAATCTTGTGACTTATTGATAGGAAGCCAGTTTTATTCATTAATTTCTATGGGTTAATTCAACTTCAAAATGAAGAAAATTTAAATTACAATCGCAAATATAACAATTATTTTTGTTAATACGTTTTGCTTCTAAGTTATTATATAATGCTAATGTTTTTATTTTGATATTATTTAACCTACTCTTCAATGACAACTTATTAAGCCTAGGCAACATCTCATAAATTTGCTCGTAAATACCTGCCTTATGTTTTATTATTGATTTTTATGGGTTATACTACTTTTTTTAGCTGAAGTAATAAAAATATACCGTGTGTTCAAATTAAAGTGTTACTGTTAAATATCGCCGAAAATATGCATTTTATAAAAAAAGTTTTAGACAAAAGTTTTATAGTTTTTTGGGGGATACATTTTGGCGAAATTTATTTTTTTATAGCTGACCATAATATGGCCGTATCGAGGTGGACTTTTTTTATTTCAAATTGGAACCCCATTTTTTTACATATTCTTAATGTTCATAAGAAAATAAGAAACTTGTAGAAGAAATATTTTTTATTGGACTTTTATTTATTGAGTAACACCTACTTGAAAATTTTGCTGCCAAAATATTTGAAACGTTTTTTTATAAAAGGCGGTATTTAACTGTAACACTTTAATTTAAACACCCGCTATAATAAAAATAAAAAATTAATTGTTTCACTTGTTTTACAAATCCATATACTTTTATTAAAATCAACATATATATTTTTAATTACGAAATCTATAAAAAATTGTATTGTCATTAGAGAGTTATTGCAAGTTCACTTAAGGTCAGTCACTATTAGTGGCGCTCTTATTTTGACATCTGAGCATGCGCAGATCACTAACTTTAACAAAGATTGTGCCTATCCTTAATAGAGAGATATTGCAAATTTCTATAAAGCCAGCCACTAATAGTGACATCGTAATTAGAGTCAAATAAATTCTATAATAGTACCTAATATTAAAGAGGCATTATAAATTATAATTTTAGAAGGTTTAAATGACGAGTGCATCCAAAAGCTATAAAGTCGCCACTACCTGCTGCCCTTAAACATCCACAATTAAGGACAGGCACAATCCTTAATAAAGTCAGTTTTAGAACATAAACATCTGCGCATGCTTAGATGTCAAAATAAGAGCGGCACTAATAGTGACTGACCCTAAGTGAACTTGCAATAACTCTCTTTTAAGGACAGGCACAATCTTTGTTAAAGTTAGTGATCTACGCATGCTCAGATGTCAAAATAAGAGCGGCACTAATAGTGACTGACCTTAAGTGAACTTGCAATAACTCTCTAATATATGCAAATATCGTCTGTTAGTTTATAAAATATTTGGCGCTGCCGTCACGTACGGAGCGAATAATACATGAAAATAGGCTGACTGGACTATGCATGATGAGCATACATCGAAAAATAATTGGAGAAACCAAATAAAGAAATTATGTTTTCTGTTATCGATGTGTTTGAGTGAGTTTTTTTATGGTTTTTGTGTTATTATAAATTTTTACTTTTTTTATTATATATGGCTGTTCATATTTTTCTTTTATATCACTCCTTCTGTTTATTAGAGGCATGTTAATTTGTATTGCTCTTTTATTTTTCATTTTTTTTTTGTTTTCCAACAAATAAACATTCTAAATTTTTTTAAAAATTTTGCTCCTCCCTATAGAATTGTGTAACGACGCCCATAGTTTGTACACTCTTTTGTGCTTAAGAAAGTAGCTTATATCACAGGTGTACTAAAATATATATTGTAACGATGATTTAATTTAAAAATAGTTTATTTTTTAAAAACAGTTTATTTAGAATTTATTTATAACGTACTAATTATTAATTTATTTAATACTTATTATTATATTATAACTCACAAATCTAATTTATTTATTACAATTTATCTTTGCGATGTCGTGGTTCCAGTTTTCTTCATGTCTAGTCTGTCACAGATTCTTCGGAAAAACAGGCTTTTAAAATATCTGCCTAGTTCACTGTGGATCTCCAAGGGCACTCCAAATCCACTGATGAATTATTTTATTAACACGTCTGCAAAAGTTACAGCCTCTTGATTTTGAATGACGTAGACTTCCACCTACTTCGTAAAATAATCCATAATCACCGTCATGTATTTATTTCCATTCTCGGTCATAGAGAATGGTCCAGCAATATCTAGGCAATCCTCTCAAATGGGCTATCTACGTTGTGCTGCTTTATGAGGGCCTTCCTTTTTCGTTAAGGTCCTTTACTTATAGCACAGGTAGTATATTTCTTACACCAGTCCTTTACATCATCGGAACTGCTCATCCAATAAAACCTTTCACGAACTCTCTGAAGGGTTTTCTTAACACCGAGATATCCTCCTGATGGACTGCCGTGTAACTGACGAAGTACTTTGGCTACTCTAGCCTCTGGAACGACCAACTATCTTCTATTTTCAGAACCATCATCATTCTCTAGTATTTGCTTTAATAAGCCTTCTTCCATGATAAATGAGTTTTGCTAAGATAAATATGACTTTACTGTAGAGAGATTGGATACTTCTTGCCAAGTAGGTCGACGATTTTCCTCTTTCCATTGTCTCATCTTCTTCAAAAGGGAATCGTTCTCCTGTTCTTCTGTAAGTTTGGCAGGGGCCCACTCATCGTTGAATACAGTTGTTCTTAGCAGTCCACTTTCTTTGGATTCTGCTCTTCTGCAGTGAGAGCATTCTGCTGTTTACGATCTTCTAGAAAAAAGAATTGGTATTTCTGTGGCTTATTCCGGCTCCATATTCGATCTTAAAGTCGTACTTTTAAAATCGTTCAATCCATCTGGCGATTTGTCCCTCCAGGTGTTTGAACTGAATCAACCACTTAAGGGATGCATGATCGGTACGGATTAAGAATTTCCTTCCATATAGGTATTCGTAGAAGTGATTTACGCAATTCACAACTGCCAGGAGTTCTCTTCTCGTGACGCAGTAATTTCGCTTAGGTTTCAAGAGCACTTTACTAAAATAACCAAGTACTCTTTCTTTTCCCCCTTGAATCTGTTAAAGCAATGCTCCAATTTCCACATTACTGGCATCAGTATCCAGAATAAATTCTCACTCTGGTAGTGGGTAGCCCAGTATTGGCGCTGTTGTTAAATGCTTATTTAATGTTTCAAAGGTAATTTGGCAATTTTCGTCATAGCAGAATTATGTCGCTTCTTCTGTGAGTTGTGTGAATGGCTTAGCAATATCTGCGAACTTTCTTATGTATCTTTAGTAGTACATATAAAGTCTAACAAACTTCTTATTTAATATGTATCAGTTGGATGTGGCCATTGTTTGATGAAAGCGACTTTCTCCTTATCTACAGCTACGCCATCCTTGCTAACTATACGACCCAGGTAATTAACTGTATTTTGGGACTAAGCTTTGAGTCTTTTAAAACATCTTCTTAGTTCTTTAGATGTTCATCAAATGTCTTCCTCAAGATTCTGATGTCGTCTAAATACACCAGGCATGTTTTCCAGGGTAACCTTTTCAATACGTAAGTCTTTCAAATGTCGCGGGGGCATTACATAGTCTAAATGGCATGACATTGAATTGCCACAATCCAGATCCGGTGGTAAAAGCTGTCTTTTCTTTGTCTACTGGGTCCATTTCCGCCTGCCAATTTCCTGAATTTAGGTCTAGGATAGAAAATAGTTTACTTTCGGCCAATGTGTCCAAGGTATCGTCGATTCGAGGCAGGGGATAACTATCTTTCTTGGTAATATTGTTCAACTGACAATAATACACACCTCGTAGATCTATCCTTCCTCTGGACCAGGACTACCGGAGAGGTACATGGGCTGGTAGAAGGTTCTATCACCCTGTCTTCTTCCATTTACCGAACAATCCTTTCAGCATCCTCTCTCTTGGCCTTTGATATTCTTCGGCTGATTGACGAACCGGCCTTGCGACACTATATCTTACATGTATTGAAATGTAACAAAACTCACATGATTGAAAAGTAAAAAAATATTGTCCTACGTCAAAGTTATTATTATAAAATTATTATTATCAATACAAATTTCTATGTATAAAATGTGAAGCAATAAAGTTTTTTTATAGGTTTTAAAAGTGTAAAATAATAAACAAACAACTTGACATTTAACTTTTATAACTTCCCGGAAAAAAGTAAAACAGAATTAATTAATAATTATTCAGTTCTTGTTAGGTATCTACTTTAGTAACAAATAATTTTTAATTCTGGTAGATTTGGTTAAAAATATTTCTAAATTATTCTATTAGTTGATCTCTACTTTAGTTACAAATAGTTTTTAATTATTCTATTAGTTATTATTCCTACTTCAGATCTAAATTTTTATAAATTATTCTGTTAATATCTCTGCTTTAGTCATAAATATTTCTCATTATATTAGTTCTTAGTATGTTCTTTAGTTATAAATATTTTATAATTTTTCACTTTTCAACACGTGTGATATACTTTTCAGTACATGTGATATTGTTTAATTGACTTTCTTATTTGAAAAAGACGTTTATTTAATAAATTTTTTATGTGGTCGTAGGAAAAATAGTGTACACAACTAGTTGGAAAGTGTTATTTCCACACTTGTTATGTAATATACCATTTTAAATCTCAGTATCAGTTCAAAAGAGTCTTTAGACGTACACAAATAATTTTTTGTTTTTTAATAATACTAATTTATACAGGGTGTTTTTTAAACATTCTGCAAAAAGGGGTTGTTCCTTAGACTATTCTAAAAATATTTTGTTTTTTAATGATTTTTAAAATTCCGTTTTGTTTAGGAGATACAGGGCGCACAACATTTTCGAGAAAACTATTTTAAATATTTTTAAAATTATTAATAAAAACATACAACTTTTTTAAAAATTCGTTATTTTTATTATTTTTTAACAACATTCCAATTACTAAAAACGGCTATTTTTTCCACTTAACAGAACGGATTTTCAAAAATCATCAAAGGACAAAATATTCTTAGAATAGTCCCCTTGAATTTTTGCCACATATTTGAAAAACACCCTGTATATGTCTTTAAATTCATTATTTTTTATTTGCAGACGAGTATTGAGCAATGGAGGACAATTTTCTTCATACTAATTGGTATCAAGGTGTTAACAGCAACAACGTTTCTTATTTTTGGATCCGGTGATATTCAGCCCTGGAATAATGAAATCGAATTGCTGGGTAATGGTATGCCTAAGAAATACAAGACATACCAAGATCGTGTACTAATAACTCAGGGGTGTTGTTGAGATCAATATAATAACAGTATCTACTTCTTACGTTTTTTTACTGCGGCTCTTTTAAGTTATGGATATTTGTTACATATTTCTATAAGTCGGTTAAAAATTAGATTAAGTATTAAACATTTTTTTCTTGATTTTATCTGGTTAGTAAAAGTATTTTTAATATCAAATTATAAGAGTCAAGTAAACCAACTCAAAACTGATAGGTTATAGATAAAAATTTCATAGATAAAATAGCGGGAAGTTTAAATTCCTAATACAAATTCTGATCTGGAAAAACACTTACTTATTACTCTCGTTAACTCTATTATTTTAGTCTAAATATACAAGATCGTCAGACGAAAACTTTCCAAAGCAATTATCAACAACACCATTAACGTTTTTGACAAATGCTAGAACCCATAATTTTTTTATTAAGAGAGACTTCTTTCTGTCACATTATCAACTGCGTCACACGTCCCCCCCCCCCTTTTTAACATCGCAAAAATGACAATTTCCGTACAGAAAAGAAAAGTCACGAATTTAATTAAGTTGGATAGATAAAGCGACAAGTTTATATGGGTTTATACAATATTAATAAATGAGTTATAAAAGTGATTCTTTCCTAATAGTTTATATAAACAAAGGGTAGTAGTTAGAGCATTCAAAGCTTAACTAGTTGAAGGTTTCTTTTCTTTGCAGAATTTATTGATTGTGGTTATAAAAATAGTAAATCTTGATATTTTAATATTGAATTAAAAATGAAAAGAAAGCAGTTGTTTGATGGGAAGTGACGAAAGGAGGGAAAAGTATGTTGGTAGAAACGGAGATGAAATGATGGAAAGTGTGTGAAAGTAGAAAAGAGAAGAAAACGAAGTAGAAAATGAATAGAGAAGGTGTGTATGGACACATAAAAGCAACAGACAGGTTATACTTAAATTAAAAATCTAAGAGGCTGGTCTGTGACAGTATTGTGTGTGAAATAAGATAGATAAGGTAGAAGAATATAGAGCAATGAAATAGTAAAAAAGTGGAAGTTTAATTTAAAAACTAAAGCCAGTAGTATAGTATACCGTCGTTTTTACTCGTTACTCGTTATGTTACTGGACCGACATAGACTGCTTATAGCATAAATAAAACTAGAATGAAGAGATATAATGCTTGACATTCTGTATTATACTATTCACAGTTTAAGAGATCCCCTTAACCCCCATCTTCAATAAACAAAAATCAGAATCAACACGCTTCGTCCCCTTTTAGTGAAGATTTCAATGATATCGTTTTTTCATTTCTAAGTTAGGATTTTTTTCAATATTCTAACCACTCTTATCACCCAATTTTGATTCAGATTTTTTTAGAATCAATAGGCTTCATTCCCTTATAAACCTTATTTTATCGCATTTGAAGCTATACGGATGAAAAAAATAGCATGTATATATTTTCTCATAATAACGGTCTTAAAAATTGTTACAAATATGTCTGCTTCAGGAAAAAAAACTTTAAAGTTACAGAAGCTAAAAATATGCCACTTTGTAGTTATTTTTATCAAATAAGTGGTAGCTGGAACTAATCTAAAATCTTTTTCACCACTTGAAAGTGGCGGTTATGTGACAGCCACCTAATGTTGCCATCATAAAGGTAATTGTTTACAATATTGTCAGATCAGTGATTTCTCCAATTATTTCAGAGTTGAGTTGTCAAGACCAATCTCAGGGGGAAAATCAAATTTACCTTAAATTACACATATATGTCATCCATCAACTAGATCAAGGTAATGTAAATTTAATGCAATTTTAATTTTGAATAGCGTAAAAATGGCTTAATCAAATATTAAGGTACAGTAATATTTGGAATTGCTATAGTCAAAAATATATAGGGTGTCCCATTTTAATTCACAAAGTTGATACTTTCTGGATACCGTTTGTTTATCTTAATAGTAATTTCTAGTAAAGCCTTATAACTTAAGTATAATTTATTTTAACAATTTAATTTAACAATTTATTTTATCTCTTTTAATCAACCTTGTAAGTGCCGTTCTAAAAATGACCGAACACCCTGTACAAATATAATATACATTCAAGAAGAAAAAATGGGAAAAATTTGTATACTATATTTTCTCGAGGAGATTGCGCTCTGATTATATCGCAACACTGTATTATTTGATATAACCTCAAAATGTACACTAGATTTTACCGGTTTGTTTATCTATTTATGTTTTCTGTTGTGTTTGTGTGTATAGTACGAGCAAGAGATATAGTGTGACTTTAAAGCTTTAAAGCCAGACGGCAACATACAAAAAAAACTAAGGACACTGATACATTAAATATAGTAGATGAGCATTCAGGAGAATGAGTATACTTATTTTATTTTTACTTCCCTCGATAAAAAGAAAGTATTGTAATTGTGAAAATTTAGATCTTCACGTTTTTGGGTCCCTAAATTACAAAAAACATGTTTATATCTCAAAAATGGTTTAAGAGAAAAACTTCAAATTTTGTATGCGGTTAAGGCTTCCTCTTGGCTCAAAACCGGTTATATTTCTGGTTAGATATTTACAGGGTAAGCAATTAAAAAAAAAACATTTATTTTTAAAAGTCAGCAGATTTCGACTAAAATTGGTTTCTGATAAAATTGTTATCTGACTAAAGATAACAGGTCATGAATTACTTTTAAAAATTCAAAATGGCTCTCCTATTTTTACAATTTATACAGGGTGTTATACCCTTCTTTATTATTTAAATGTGAAAAATCAAAGTGTTATTTAAATTAAATAAAGAATTATGCAAACGGCAACTACATGGGTATTGATAATATTGTTTCTGTCACCAAACCAACCCCTGATTAGGTATCTTTCTTATTTTTAATTTGAAATATATATTGTGATTTTTATTAATATTCTTAATTTATTTGGTTCCTACTATAATTACCACAATTATTACTCCGTTTTCATAAAGCCCTACTAATGACTACAACGATTAGGTAAATTACGATATTGCAAAGTTTTCATGAAATAAATAAAAGAAATTGTATGAATATTTTAAATAATTGTACCCTCTCAAAAATAATAAGCACGCCTCCGATTTGGTCGTATTTCTACCTGCTTTCACTCTCAATCATTATTTGTTTGAGTTTAGCTTGTTTAACGTCTAACTTTACAATTTATTATAGTATTTCAAAGCTAAAACGTAAAATACACTCTTTATTTTTGTGACAAAGATTATTTTAAAAATCTGTAGATTGCCTAAAAAATCGGTATATCGGTAGATTTTTATAGATTAATATCAAAATCGGTAAATCTACCGGGTAGCAATGGCATCACTGAGTGTCAGTGTCCAGTCAGTAAGTGACAGTGACAATGTAATTTGACGTCAGGATAGCCAACTCTCGGAAATAAGTGTCACCACTACTCGTGAACAGATTGTTTCATTATCATGATGCACTAGTTGAACAAGGACGGAAGTATAACTAGAACGTCTCTGGTCGGAATGTATATAACTAAACAATAAATGATCGTGATCGTACTGTACTGAATGGGCCTGTTACTTACATCAGGAATGGGGAATGGGCCTGTCCTCTCGACTAGTTTTATTTGACTATTTAAGAATATTCATCTGTTTTACATGATGTTTCATTATTTTGAGGAATCTATGTACTTTTAAACTTGTGAGTTTTATTCTCTAAAATAAAAGTGAGATGTAGGTTATTTTAACCGTTACAGTGTTTTTAATGGTATGCTAATATTGTAGGGTGTGATTCTTCAAGAGAAGTTTATATGAACAAATGTCCACAACGGCTTTAATTTTTTGCTACACGGAGTTTAAAATTTGTTTGTTAAAGAGATCTTTTTTAATATCTCTGAAAATATTTTAGTATAATTTTCAATTTTGAATTGTGTTAATTGGATATAAAACCACATATTTTGCTTTGGAAAATTTATTTAATTGCTCTACCAGTGGCGTCTCTGCAAACATGTCATCTGATATTTTCTACAAAAAAGAAGTACGACACTGATATTTTTCCATGTTGATATTTTTACTCATTTGACTGGTCAATTCTACATATATATGGTATTTTTTATTTTTCTCGCCAGTTGCTCAGTTCTAGATTAAAATGAATCGTCAATACTGCAAAATGAAGAAATTTTAATTTAATTGATGAACGATAAGATAAACGCCACTGGTGAAGAAATAGAATAACTTTTTTGTCTAAAGTATGTGGTTTTATATCCTATAAAAAATACAAAACTAAGGGATCTCAATACATTATGTCCATGGTATTCAGAAATACTATCTATGGCTTATTCTTTTTTAAACTGTTTCGTTTATAAAACTTTAAGTAGGTCTTCTTTCTTATAGCTGTCTTGAAAATACAAATCATTGTCGATTAGAAAATTTTGTATATTCGCTTTCGTCCTCGTGTTGAATCTACTCTTAAACAATCTGCGTCTTGAGTAACTCGTCGGCAATTATAAACGATTCTTACTCAATGCAGTGCAGGTGGCTGGAAATACAACCGGCAGGAGCGGACTAGGTTTGTGAATAAACTTTTAGAAAATTAACTTAGTTCGTTGTATATTCTTTTTCTAATTTTTAAAATGTGAGATAAAGAAGAGGTGGCGAAAAAACCGTGCCACTAAGCACACCCGAAGCTAGACAAATTTTCTTGTATTTACGCCTTATGTTTGGAATTATCTCAAAAGGAAATAAAGTGTTACACGTATCTAAATATTACGTTGAATATTATAAATCAACACAAGATGTTGATGTTGCTTGAACAGCATTTTCTCGAGTTTGAATTCTCTTATTGGGTAATATTAATAAAAATCTGATGTGTCAAACACATGTCTTTTCTATCTAGTTATTACAGGCTTTTTCGGATTATTTGGTACCACCTATATTGTAGCACCTCTGTAAATGTTTAGAGGATAAACTAAATATATACATTTTCCACAACTTCTAATTCGAAACATTTTCGTTGGCAACAAACAGACGGCATACAACGGATGGTAGACAGACCGACGGAATGGGGAAAATATGTTTTTCGTAATCTAGGGACCCGAAAACGTAAAAATCTAAATTTTCACGATTACAATACTTCTCTTTTATCGAAGGAAGTAAAAATAAAATAAGTATACTGAATCTCTTGAATACTCCTCTACTAATTTAAAGGTGATGTATCAGTCTCATTAGTTTTCTTGTATGTTGCCGGCTGGCTTTAAAGCTTTAAAGTCACACTATATCTCTTGCTCGTACTATACACCTTAGATAATATGAGTTTTAAAATGGTATCTACCGAGGAAAAGAGAGGTATTTGTTTTTGTGTTGTTCCCGTTATGTGAGAAAACGAGGGAATACTCTTTTGACCAGGCCATTTAAATTTTTCCCAAATTTAACATTTGAAAAGGCCAATATTATTAAAAGTTTTGAGGATCTGGTTTCTAATTTTAAAACGAAAATTAATCTTAATAATGACTGATGTAATAAAATAGTTAAAAATCTTTTTTTAAATACGAAACATCTCACTTCGTAGCGCATAAACTGGATGAGATGTTGCCTTAGTTTTTTTATCGCTAGTATAGTCGGTAATTATACAGCCTCCATACACACCTTCTTTCTTCATTTTCTCTTTTCTATTTTCCACTTTCACACACTTTTCCTTCATTCTATCTCCACTTCTACCACATCTCTTTCTTTCATCTTCTATCTCTCACAACCTACTGTTTTGTTTTTAACCATTTTAAATTTAATATTAAAATTCCAAGTTATACTATTTTCATAACAAAAACGGAGACATTCTGTATAGAAAAAAACTTTCAAATAGTTAAGCTTTGTAAGCTTCAACAACTACCCTTCATTTGCATAAACCAGTGGTCGCCAACCTCTCAATATGTTGAGCTACTTTGTTAATTTTGGAATAAACAGCGAGCTACCCACACGGAAGCCACGTAACGCAACGTAAATGAAATAATCCACAGTTAATTTATCATTATATGTATTTATTTTACTATTTAACTGGTAATACATAATACATAGGTACTAATAATAAGCTAATAACAAAATAACTAATACTACTAGTACGTACTTGTTCATAGCTACATTCTTACCTACCAAACGAAGGTGTTTGAAAAATAAACACAAACTTTTATCCAGCCACAACGGCATGTCACGTAAGATTTAAAAATAGTTAATAATAACAAAAAAGTAACGCACTATCATAAACATAAACATTGAAAAATAAAAAAGCACGTTCAATGAGAAGGCTGACACTCAGACTTATCAATAATTTTTTTAATGTTTGCAGTATAATTTGATACAGCCGTTCGAATACAATTATCGAAATGTTCATCTGTAAGTCGATTGCGATATTTGTTCTTAATAAACTTCATACTGGAAAAAGAAGATTCACACAAATAGGTTAAACTGAATAATGCTTTCACTTCTAAGGCAACACGGCATAGAACTGTCTTTAATTACAATAGGCCAGATACATCTGGTACTTGAGACTAACGATTTTAAGGCTAAATCATTTTGAAACTCAATTACTTCCATTTCTGTTGCAGCGATGTCTTCGCCAAAGTTCTGCATAACACAAGTTGCAAACTGTTGGATATCAATTTCCATAAAGGGTGAAACAACAAACTGCGCTACTAAAGCCATTTCGTTGAAATCCTTAAAACGATTTTTAAAGTTATTTTTCAGGGTAGAAACTATTTCTACATGATATTTGCTGTCATAGGGTTCTAATGGATTTTGAGATATTTTTTCTAAAAGAATAGGAAAATGCTTGGTATCGCTGTTAATTAGGTTTTGTTCTCAAAACTCCAGCTTTTTAATAAATGATTTTATATGAGAAATCATTTCCGCTATTTCTTTGTCTCCCACCTGAAGCTGCAAATTAAGTTTGTTTAATTTCTCTGTAATGTCCACGAGAAAACCAAAATCTCTAAGCCAGATTGAATTTTCTAGTTCCGGAGTCGGTTCATCGCGTTGTTTGAAAAATTGAACTATGCCAGATAGGACATCATTAAAACGTTTCAGCACCCATCCTCTACTTAACCATCGGACTTCAGAGTGAAGGAGTAGGTCCCCGTATTGACAGTCAACTTCATCGGCCAAGGTTTTGAATAATCTTCTTTGTAACGCTTGAGCTCTATTCTTGTTCAATTTTTACCACCAGTTTCATAACGTTGTTTAGTTTCAGTAAATTTCCACATAAGGCTTGCTGATGGATAATGCAGTGGTAACAGAGAAATTGCAGAAAAGTTTCATCTTTACGACATAACGCCACCAGACCCTTATCACAACCCACCATAGCTAGAGCGCCATCGGTTGTCAAGCCTACCATTTTCGATATTGGAATTTTCTCGGAAGAAATAATATATTTTAAATGAGAGAACAACTCCTGTCCAGTAGTGTGTCCTTTCAGTGGAATAAACTTCAAAAGATCTTCTTTAATCGTAAAATCACTAAAAACCATCCTGACGAACACGACCATCTGGGCAGTGTCAACGACATCTGTTGATTCATCCAGTTGAAGTGAAAAATAAACACAGTTATCTAAGTCAGTTGTAAAAAATATCATTGCTCATTACTTCTACACGTCTCATCACTGTATTAGCAGAAAGTTGCATATATTTTATATCTGAAACTACCTCGTCTTTATTTCTAAAGTTGGCAAATAACGAATCAGCAGCTTCTAAAAACGCCTGTTTTATCATTTCCCCGTCTTCATAAGGTTTCTTTTTTTGTGCAATTATCTGAGACATACGGTACGATGCTTCAGTTGCAGCCTTATTTTTGTCGACTGTTCTTAAATATATTGATTGTTGTCCAATTAACTGCTTTTTTAACTGTTTCAGTTTCTCCTTTCTGGCGGCAGAATGTAGTGGGAATTATTTTTCAAAATTAGAATGTACAGTTTTATGATGTCTCTCAATATTTCCTTTTTTTAGCAACGGAGACCGAAGTATTACATAACAAACACACATTTTTATCTTTAACTTCTGTAAAAAAGTATTGTTCGTCCCATTCCGAATGAAAGTGGTATGTCTTTACCTTCTTACAACTGCTTGCCATAATATTATTTTTTGTTGTTCCCTACTAACCCAACCGCTGGACGTTGGTTACGCGTTCAGTTTTAAACTAAGCGCAATGTCGCCGCGCCGTGCGTATTTATCCCGTTCAAAGCAATCCTGATCGTTCTCGAACACTAATGCGCTGGTCCGGCTGGTCGGTTCTAGCCGATTCTAGCTTGATGGCGTCAGCGGCAGATCGCCCACCGCAACGTTGCTACTGTTTATGTTTAATATTATGACAATTAGATTTTTTTATGGAATTTTCGGAAGCTTCTCTGATTTTTGCAGTTTGTATTTTTTAAATTAAAATCGTTGTGAGAGCTACCAGAATTGCCTCCGCGAGCTACCGGTAGCTCGCGATCGACAGGTTGGCGACCACCGGCATAAACTATTAGGAAAGAATCACCATTGTAACATATTTAAAATTGTATAACACCACACTTTTTAGGTCAGATGATAGATCATGCTTGTCGAATTCTGTGGTAACTAACTTAAGAATCTTATTTGCTAAATATTACTATTCATTGTGTTGCTTTTGATTTTTGCGACCTCTAGCAGGATTAAAACTCGTAAGTAATGTACAATGGGACACTTCATTTGAATGCTAATTTCATTAGTAATTAAATCAAATCAAAATTAACATATTGAATAGTAATATAGTTGAATTCTCCTTAAAATGGTCTTTTTAATAATAATGTGTCATACTTACTACTTTCCCTATTTAATTTTTATCTGTTAGAGCGACAGAGGAAAGGAGAATGACGATGACAGTTCAGAACATAATAGAAAAATGACGCAGTTTCTATTAATGGCTCTGGTATGTTTTCCTTTGGCCACTCAATCATAGAACACTGAGTTCAGTGTTCTATGATTGAGTCGATACGTGTTTGATTGCATTGTATGCAGGGCCGCCGAGAGCCAGGTGGGGCCCCGGGACAATTTTCCAGATGGGGCCCAGCGACAATTTTATAAAAAAAAATTAAACCCTTTCAATATCACATTCCTCAAAAAAAAAGAAGTCCTCATCTTGTATTTTACATAAACCAGCGCTCCTCCCTTTTGGGGCGAACTTCTAAAAAAATAAAACGTCCTCACCTAAAGCTGCCGAACTCCCCTTGTGCCCGGGCCCCGGGAATTTGTCCCGGCTATCCCCCTCTCGTCGGCCCTGATTGTATGTTATTTTTATTACACACCTTCTACATGTATATAGTACTCTAATTCAAAAAATGGCTTCTCGTAAAACGAGCAACTGTACTTTTTGTCTAATAGTTTTATCAATACAATCACTCACTAGACAGAGTCTTTGTTCAAAATACATCTTCAAACTTGCCGTTATTTAAAACTAATTATGTATTGAAACAACTTGATAGTATAGTAAATGAAAGTTTTTGTATCAAATTCATTAGGCAACCATTTGGACAGGACCTTAGAATGCCTAATAGACTCTACGCAGCCCTGAATTATTAGTAAATCTTGTGTATCGCCCTGTATCACAATATTTAATTTATTACAATTTATTTATTTTTGATTTTCTGACCATTAATAAAAGTTATAATCATATTTTTTAGATAATGAAGAGGAAACCCTGTAAAATAATTAAAAGAACTAAATTAGCTAAGTGATTTTATATTTTTTGTATTAAGCGTCTGTGATGTTTGCATTTAATATTGTATTTTTTAATAATGTGATTGAGTTTTACAATAAAACATTTTATTCTAATAAATTAAACTCTACTTATTTAGTTTACCACTTAATCCAATATTATATTTTAGATAGTCCATAATTTCTGTCAATTACCGTAGCGACTGATCTCCGATTAGGTTCAATAAAATACCAATAGCGAGCACGAGACCTACATACACTGTAATAGATAAGAACATTTGTGTGATATGAACGGGGGACCGGTAGGTAACAGATCCTCAAGATACCTAAAAAGTCGCTCAAAAACTTTATAACATGAAAGCTGATTATTTAAGAGGAAAATTTACATTACAAACTGAAAGACCTGCGGGGCAACGGTAGTTTAGTAGGTATAAAAATTACAACTTAAGGGTGGAGCCTAAATACTACAAAATTACTTCCGAGACTAAACAAAATCAGCATTCATTCATAATTTTAACAATTGTATGTAGATACGAGGGATACGTATTTCAAACTCTAACGCGCGAAGTTAAGACAAAGGAACCGAAAAATCCTATCACGGCTGCCGACGTTCATCAGTTCTTGAATGAGTCAGAGTTAACTAAATTAGGGGAATCAGAATCGTATTTTTTTTCTTGGTGCATTGCGAGATATTGTTATAACGCAGTTCGGTTTTTTAGAGGGTTCTACATTATTTTTATATTTTATTTTAGTGGATAGGTTTAGTTAGATTAAATTACATTTAGGAGTATAGAGTTGTGAAATATAAATACAAATAACGAAAAAATAAACGATTGGTTCGAATAAGGTAATATCAATTAATACAGGGTATTTATTAATTGAGTGCAGATACTTAAGGGTGTGAATCCTTTGGCTGTTAAAGTTTTAAGAAAAAGTTTCTTACCACTCTAGATATTCTTATAAAATTTTGCCCAAAAAAAGCGTTTCCACTCATGGTGGGTTCCTACCAAATTTCAACAAAATATCAAAAGCAGTTTCAATAAACAGATTTTTATTTTCTTACACGAAAAGGGTGCGTCGTACGAAAGTACGTCTATAAACCAAATTTGCTCCAAAATAAATAAGGATTTTAAAGATAATTTTGGTTTTTAGAAAAAGCAGTGGCGTACCATATTTTTGTTCAAAAATATTCAGTTCAAACCCGGTACGGACGTCACTGGTAAAAATTTAAAAGTCTTTTACGACAAAAGACGGGATTAAAAGTGAAAGTTTAGTCTGTTGGTACATAATATACTATATTTATATATCTAATTTTTATTATTACACTGAATGTGACATGGCTTTTTTGTTTGCCTTTTTTGGATCAACAAAATAATATTTTAATGATTTAAAATAAACTGCCAGTAATAATAATTATCTGTACTTAAACATATACAAAGTGAAATCATAAAACGACGCATCAAGAAAGCACCAAATTATTAAACTTTTAATTTACGTAACATTAAAAGTAATTTTAAAAAACCAACTTTATAATCGTAAAGATGCCATCACAACATCTTAACCAAATTTATATGGGACCACCCCTGAGGTACCCCCTTACTAACGAAAAGAATTATAGAAATCGGACAAGGTGGTAAAGAATTATCGCTAAACATACATAAAAAATAAAAAGTTTGAGGATTTTCTCATGGACCCAATCATTAGATTTGGACCAAATTTATATGGGACCATCCCGGAAGTACCCCCTTTCCAGCAAAAAAGAATCCTTTAAATCGGACACTGTGTTAAAGAATTATCGCTGAACATACATAAACAAAATATATACAGACGAATTGAGAACCTCCTCCTTTTTGAAGTAGGTTAAAAAGGATATAATTTATATTAATTGTATTAACTAAAAAACTAGGTACTATGTGGAGTTATATACATCTTCTTAAATTAATCATATATGTTCCTAGAGGAGTACCTAGTTCACTGTGCAGCCAAATTTATATTTATGGTACAGAATTTTTTGAATAAATAAAGTTTTAGCTTTAATTACACACCATCAGGAATAACATTTTCTGAAAAAAAGTAATACATAAAAAGCAGACTTTTTGTGAGCCACTATATATATTTTAGAGAACAATCCATATTATTTTAGAAAAATAAATAAAATTTTTGTATAATTACATAAATATGATTTATCTTTTGGAATATTGTATATGTTTGTCAAAGTTTACTAATTTTTTTAAAAAAAGAATTATTCTTCAAAATTTTTCTTAAATTTTTAAACACGGTACAAAATACCTTAATCCGATTATAGTTATCGAAATTAGTAAAGAAGTTTAACTTGATTAAAAAGCGTTCTTTCTCTTTCCATTTCCTATAAAAACTAATAGACCTTTTTGAAATCGGTATTCGGTGACTTTTCTTCTGTTATATTGCCTTGAAAATAATATGATTTACATAAAAAACAAAAACTGACTTATTATTTTTGTGAAATAAAAATATGTTATTTTCACAATTTTCGACTACTCTTTGTTTCCAAAAAAGAAATACGATGTTCTTGAGTAGATAATAACATATTCTTTAATTGGCTTTTTTTTTAAATATTCTTTAGTATTTTCATAATTTGGGAAACAGTATAGCATTGAAACTTCTATACCTGAAAAATTGTGAGTACGCTTTTAATTAATTATCTGTTTTTTTTTATCTCACATTAATCATATCTTAAATGGATCGCCTACTACCATGTTTTAGAAATAAATAAAATGTAATTTTTAAATTAATAAAAATATTCAAAATAATTTAAGATTCCTTGCGCTATGTTAATAAACATTAAACAAAATTTCTCACGAATTATTTAGTATTCTGTCCCGTACTTCCATGTCTCTATTGCTTCGCTGTCAACAAGTTCCGACAAGGCATATTGCATATAAAAAAAATTTATTTTATTTCCCAAAAGCTGTCAATATAAAATATTTTCTCCACTTTTATTCCTCCAGAAGTCCAAAAGCACAAAAGCACAAAAACACAAAAGCACAAAATGCAAAAATTCATTTGTGTTATGTTCAGCTAGCCCTGAATTTGAAAATACCAATAGAGGTTCTCCTTAATGGTATTGTCCTTTTTCCAAAAAGTTATTTCTCCGTTTCATATTTCTTCTTCTACAGTCAGCACTTCAGCTCCATATGTACATTTTAACTCTATCATAGTTTTTTTTTTTTAATTCCATCCAGACTGTCAGCAACATAATCAAATTCGATTTCAATAAAATGTCCACATTTAAAAACTTTTACTTGCAAATAAATTTCGAAATCTTATTTTGCTCTGAATTTATGGTCCATGCCATATCGGGTAGCTTTAGAAATAAATAAAAAAATTTAGGAGATTTTTTAAAAATTTCTCCAAATTTTAAAGCAGTGACTCGTTTCCGTCTCATATTGTGCCACAATGCACAATCAGCTTGTCACAATCGTTTTTTTTTTCTCATTTATAGACATTGGCTAACTTTTTAGAAAATTTTCTGTTGTAACGCGCCTCAAAGGGTGCGACAGATCAAAGCCATGCGCGAAAGCAAGAAAAAATATTTACATTACTTTAACGGATTGAAGAGATATTAACATGGTGGAATTAATAATTATTGTTGACTCGAAGAGGTATTCATTAAACAAAAACATATTTATAATTCACATCTCAGTGTATACCTTCCAATTTCGGATATATATTTTTTTAATAAATAAATGATAAAATTAATTTAATTGAGCGAAATTACTGTATGTAAAAAATAACAACATGAATTCAAATCACTTACGTACTGTTTATCACTAAATAATAGAAAAATATATATTTTGTTGGTGTCATCCTCTAGACGAAATAGTATATTGTTTCACGAGTGACGAAAATAACATTTTTTGAAGCGAGAGAACAATTTACCAACCGAGGCGAAGCCGAGGTTGGTAATGTTCGCGATCTTCAAAAAATGATTTTCGACAAGTAAAACACTATACTTTTTCTACGAACTCTATTATGTCATGTAGGTACCTACTAAAATGAAAAAAAAAACAAACGTTAACAAATGCTTTATTTTGTGTTAGGAATAACAAAAAATTAACCAACAATTAAATATTTCAGAAATATTATTTATTATTTAAATATTGATTTATTGTTATATTTGAACAATTGTTCAAAATTATGGGGGTATCACACTCAAGCTTTTTATTTATTGAGGTAGATGCCGACATATTTGTTCTACTGTTAAATGTCATTTCAGATGATGATGATGCGCCATAATCGGATGAACTAGTAGTTTCCTTATTTTGTACAGATTGTAAAATGTTGGTTTGTATTTGGTTTTTACTGTTCGTGGATTCATCAACATATCCTTCCGCAACACTACTAGATTTCCAACCACCGTGCTTTTTTAACAGAAGTAAGTCACCTCCTGCATCCACTAATAGCGTTGCGGATGTTCTGCGGAAACAGTGCCCAGTGTAATCTTGAGGATTCGGAAGCGTTAAAAACTGAGCAATTTCGTTAGGAAATTTACTGATTTTATTAATTCCACTAGAGACGAAAGTAAACGTTATGGGATTTTTTCTCACTAGTGACGGAAATCAAGTTTGCGCTGAAAGTATCCTGTGGCGAAAGATGTCTTTTTGTAAGAGTTCGTAGAAAAAAGCTTTTAACGTATTTCTATTTTTATTTTAATAAAAATAAATGCTCCTGTAGGCAAAAATTAAATTTATTGTTCTCTTCTAGTATTTTTTAACATTTCTATTTCTTTTCGTTTCTTTTCTTTGATTTTTTTCAAAAGAGACTGATATATGCCAATCTTAGCATTACAGAAATAAATTACGTACAAAATAAGTTGTACAAATACGTGAAAATTATTCATCCCTCGTAAAACATCAGTAAAATATATTATAAATTGTTTTCATTCTCATATATTAATTTCTTAAAAATCTAACAGAGGCGCTACTTTCCAGACGAAAAATCTTGCAATGTAAGGGTTCCGTAGTACCTTACTTTTCAAGTTTATTTTTGACTATTTTTAAAATAAAAAAATATGTACGTGTAGGTAAAGGTTAAATCTATGCTCTTCTTGAA